ATATATATATATATATGCGTTAGCCCTGGCTCATTGATAGCGGCCTTGGCATAAGACCCTCGAGTCGAGGGTTTGAATCCCAACCCTTTTGGGAGGATTCGAATAGCACACAAACTGGAAGAGAGGTCTACCTCTCGCTCAGTCTATCCTGTTGGGGTTGATCGGCGATCTCCAGCCATCGATCAATCTTATATATATTTGTTTGTGTGTGTGTGCCGCGTTCCCAGGTCAGGTGGTACAGCGTCCGCTTCGACGGTGTAAGTTCTCTCTAATATGAGGTTCAATTTTTGCCCCTAATGACTATTGCCTTAAGGAAAGGGTACTCGAATATTTAGGCGGATGTCACCTAAATATTGTAAATTCATTACTTACTTACTTGAATTTACATCCAAGGGTACTCTAATATGAGGTCTAAATATTTATAGGTCCATCCACTAAATATTTACGTTGTAAATCCACTATACTTGACAAGTAAATTCAGACCTCATATTTATAGGTCCATCAGGTTTAGCTTGAATTTACAATATTTAGTGGATGGAACCTCAACCCCCATCCTATACTTGTAAATCATATATCTCTAATATGAGGTCACCTACATACTTGAATTTTTGTCATACAAGATAAATTCATTAAGCCCACTTAATAGTTGGATGTAGTAAATCCTGATTCATGTTGAAAAGGAGACGGAATGGAGATAAAATTGGATTTAGCGGAGCACCAGATTTAGCTTCTCTGTTTTTCGGGTTTGGCTGGATTTACATTAAATCTAAACGAAAATCCTGGGTGCTAACAAACACTCTTAGGCGGAGTTTGGCTACGATGCAGATTTACGTTAAATAGAATTTATCAAATCTGCAAAATCCTGCAAGCTCGCGATGGAGATGATAAATCTTGGGTTTTTAAAATAAGAAAAATTAGTAGGCAAATCTTACTAAATTATTTAGTTAATTGTTTAACCACACACCAACTTAAAAATGACTTGATTAATTCAACTCATCTGTAACTACAAATAACTTCTAACTAAAATTCAAATGGGTTAATTGTTTGAAGTAAAGCTAACATCTGAGAAATCCAAGTATGAAACACAAGCTAGAAAAGTTTAGCTTTGTCCCTCTGCATGTGGGCTATGTTATTAAATCCTATGCTTTATGAATCCCTTAATTGGTAAAATATTAATTGCAATTAGAACAAAAGGAAATTTGTTAATCTAAGCTTTCTATGTGATGTGTAGCACTTATTGATTGAAACTAAGGGGTAATGAATATGATGTAAAACATAAATATTATCATTATATACTCACCGGATAAATTGTTTTGAAAATTAAAAATCTATGTTTATCATTTATGTTAAATGGTTGTCTCAAATATGAGTGAAGACTATGAGAATCTTATGATAATGATAGATGTAATAATATGTGATAATAATGCAATAATATTTATAAACCATCTAAATTATTATACAAATCAAGAAGTTCAATATGAGTTTATATCTAACAAAGGTGGCCTAAAAGTAAGGAGTACGCAATTTTATTTTATTTTTATATTTATTGCAAGAGGGATGGAATACAAACTGTTGCAAGACTGGCTTTTTATACTGTCATTTAAGTATTGAATGAAACATATTGGTTATTATTGAGGAACATCTAACTTGCTTATTGATTTGTTTGTTTTTAAAACTTGCAGGTTATGTTTATATGCAATCATTGCCCATTTGTGAAACACTTGAAAAAGGATATAGTAAAGCTTACAAATTTATATATGAAGGTGAGGGAAAAATCTATAATATTCACATTTATTAGGAAATAAATGATTATGTATAGATTTTTGTTTATTCCTCTGCAGAAAGGGCTTGCTGCTGTTGCAATATCTTCAAATTCTATACGGACGCATCCTCAGGTTATTGTGACTTTCTTTCTGCTCCTTTTTTTCTCATCTAAGTTCTCTATTTAAATGCTTTAGAATAAATCTAAATGATGCATGCAAAGATAGAACCTATGAGTACAAGGCGAATGTTGGCATCATTTTTTGATATATTTATTGCCCGTAATTTGTTTTTGGTGTCAAGAGATTATATTTTCTAATATACATGTTTTTGTGACTCAAAACGTCGATAGAAACTACTTCGCATGTGATCGGGCTCTAATTGACTCGATCGTCAACAAATTTATTCAACCTTGAATCGCAAAACGGACTGCTCGAGTGTGTCTGGAACGTCGAATTTGCCTAAAAAGGACACCCATATTTTTGTATTTTTGTATATCAATTGGCGCAATTGGCGACGCGCAAATTGAGTGAAGACTATGAAAATTTGTTCGGTGTCAAGAGATTGTATTTTAAAAATTGAGAAATGATTTAAATCGCAGGATAAAAAAGGGGGTCATGCTCCACATATATATGTCTGGTCCTAATACTAATACATCAAAGTAAAAATCTAGAATTAAAGTTGGGGACACGAGCTTACTGCTCCTAGTCCTTGCCACGTGTCTCACATATCAAACGCCTCAGAACCTATGTCTATACTGTATTTCTAGTATAGTCTCCCCTAAGAACTTTGAAAGGTACATGATAAAATTTAAAAAAAGACTTCACTTGCACGAAAATCAAGTTAGCATAAAAGCTACCTACATGCAATGTGATGAACGATGCCCAGTGGGAGGAGAGTTTAATAGCACATGCAGAAAAGGCGTTAACGTAAATCATCACAGCTCTTCCCTATTGGACATGGCTCTTTGCAAGAAAGCCACCCCTAATCTACTAGTTTGCATATCTCACACCCAATAAACACATAAAGCAGACAAAATGTTTGGTTAGAGCACAAATCGAAGAATAACTAGCAAACCATCTAAGCACGAGGTGGCCTGATCACATTATCTAAGTGTGTTGGCATAGTGTGGGTAAGAGCTATCATATGACTTTGACGAGGCCGTCAAAGTTGGTCCCATCCTAAAGATCCAAGTGATCTAAAATGTCAATAGGGGATGGCATTTTAAATAAGAGGCCTCACATATGGTCTAACCTATGTAAATTTTAAAGTAGGGTGGATAATATAAATAAGAAAAATATACATTTTTTATGTTTTAAAATATTAGACCATTAAATGCGGGTTCGTAACATGCAGGTGATGTACTTTAGAGCCCTTGAAACCTTAGCACAATTATACGTATGTTGATCATAATACAAAAACTTGCATTGCTCGTTGAGATATGCTCGTGCGTAATGCTCGTTTGGGTATTACACCCAACAAAGGGTCTCACTCATCTATTGAGTAGGATTTGTCATCAAAGCAGTTGAGTGATGCACATACAACATGCAAGAAACCCGACAAATTGTGATTGTTCGATCAAGGTACGAACGATCACAATGATTGCCAAAAAGGCGGATCACACTTCATGCGAATGCGAATACAAGAATGTCACATGCACATAATACATATAGCGAGCAATAGCTCTCTCAAGGGAGGATGGGGGTTGGGGTATAACTCCCTTTGTTTTTTGCTAGATTTAGACTCTGTTTGGCGTAGCTGCAGCTTTCCAGCTTTTCAGCTACAGCTGCGCTGCTCCAAGAAGCTGTTGTGAGGAAGCTGATGCGGAGAAGCTGACTGGTTGTTTGTTACAGCTGTGTGAAAACAGCTGTAGAGCAGCTGTTTCTGGAAAAATGACAATTTGCCCATGTTTAGTTAAACTATTTGGAATAGAACAATGACAATTTTATATATGATACAACTGAAGCAGAAATTCACTTTACAAGCTAAAAATGTAAAAAATAGACTTTTACAATTTTTAGTCAATCCCAGAAATCATAAACTTGATACTCTTAAGGAAAAAGTTCAAATAAAACAATCCAGAATTACATACAAGTAGTTCATGCTTCACCAAAAAAACAAGCAATGAAGAGTCTGAAGCAATAATAAGCACCTCCAACTATTGAAACACATAAACCTTATCATTCCCATGGAATTTACAATCAAGCCGCTTTACTTTTGGCATGTTAAAAAGGTACAACGACTTGAGGTGGGGAAGAGTTCAGTTAAGCAAGGAAAGAAACAGTCATATGTTGTTGCACCTGCTCCATCAAACCAATCCTCCAATACTTTTAATCTCTTACTATTAAGCACCTCCAACGATGGAAACACATAAACATATTTTCATTCCAATGGAATTTACAATCAAACACCCGTTCAGATTGATGTACTTCAGATTGGAGATCAAATCTGCATTGTGCATCCATTTTGCAGAGCTTGCACCCTTGTATGAAAATATGGACGAACTCTTTAGATTTTTGTATGGTTTAAGATTTTCAAGCACAATCACATCTAAGTCAGAATTGACAATGTTCCGTAGGCTTCCAAATAAATTGGAACATTTGCATCAAAACCATCCAATTCCTATGTTTTGACATATATAACACCTAAACTTCACTTCATACCTTTATACCACCCAAATCTTTATATAGCCAACCAAATCTTTTGAGTTAATATGGACAGAAAGTGTGCTAAGCTTGGATTGAATTAAAGAAGGAAAGCAGTGATTCTAATGAATTAAAGCATTGCTTGACATGTACATTGCTCGTAGCAGTTACCATATATTTCATACCTATGTCAAACATTCAAATCACCAACTGCAAAAGCTTATAGCATTCAGGAATAAATGGCAGCAATTGTTACTGTCGCGCTCTGCATTCCTGGAAGAGGATCAAACGCCAAAATAAATTTTCAAACAGATTCACACATTTTGTTTACAAAATTTCTTGGTTTTATGTAGTTTCCAGAAGAAAAAATGAAAATGGAATAGTTAAAAATTGATCTGGTGAAAAGAATTAGGAAAAAGAACAGGAATAGTTAAAAATTGATTTCACATTTTTGATAGATGATTGAGCATTACAGCAACTAACTTCATGCCAAAATAAAAATTGATCAGGTGAAAGAATCACCGCATCCTCAAATCAGCAGAAATTCATCCCTGAAAGTTCCCTAAAATTGTAACATTAACTAGAGAGTAACATCAACTCCAGTCAATATCTAGCCAAATCCAGAACCAATCTCAGCAATACATTGAAATGTCAGAGAAATTATAAAACCAAACTTCAAACACTATCCTTGCGATGTTGTGGCCTCTTTGAGAGAGGACAAAGAACTGTGAGATCATGACTGAGATCAAAGACTGATCTGAGAATACAAGCTCCAGAGGCCTTCTCTAGTCGGATGCCTCTCGCAGATCTGATATTTCTCCAAGCGCTAGGGCAGAAGAGTCGATAGAGAAGCTTGTTTGGTCGGACGCTATCCAGGGCAGAAGATGAGAAGAGGAATTGCAATCATGAGCTCGGGAGAGAGGGGCATTATGGTGGGGCAGGGCAGGTAAGGTATTAAAAATGAGAAAGCTCGTGGGAAAAGCGGACCACGGGAGGGATCCGGCGGCCCGCTTTCCGCTACGCGTCGGGGCCTCCGCGATCAAACCTCCGCCCCAAACAGGGGAGATACACGGGGGGACGCCGCTCATTTCCCCCAAACGGGCCCTTACTTACCATGCTATTGGTGAACTGAATAACAAAAATATGAAGGTTATTTATTTAATTGATTCATATTTTTTTCAAGCCTAATAATCAATATAACATAAATACATTGTAACTTTTCAAGAAAAACATACATGAATACATTGTTCTAAATGCATAAAAAGTAGAAAATTAAAATGGAAAATTTACATACATACAATCCATGTGCATATCAAAAACTTGAATTTTGATATTTATATTTATAACACTTAGATGTCATAAACTATGCATGGAAAGGTGCATATCACTTTTAAAAAGTTACTAACAGTAACATTTTTTATTTGATGCTAAAGATTTGAGTGTTATGCCGTGTAAATATGAAAGCTTACGTCTTTGATATGTTAATACATGAAATTTGTTTGGTATGTATGCACATGCCCCAATTAAAATTTCTACTAAAAAACATGAGAAATAATTGATGAAAACAAGGTAATAGTGAATAAATATATGAAATGAAAAGTAGATTTTTATGAAATGAAATAAAGAGATTTACATGATTTGTGGTCTCTCTTACCCATTATATTTGGAAAATCGCTCATCAAAATATCTCAATTTTATGTGATTAAAAATAACACGGATACCTTTTTCATTGCCATGAGCATCAAATTCTGGCTAAAAATTGTATGGATTCAAATTTGTGCAAATAAATGCATACAAATATGTTGACACTTCTAATTTAAGGTGGCTTCAAAGTAAATTGTTTTGGCAATCCAAGTGTGATGATAATGGTTGTGTGTTGACTTTTGATCATCATATATTCAGAAGCAGTCTCGTCACTTGTTTGATTATTTAGTTTACGAAAATTAATATAATTCCGAAATAAATTTAAATTTAATCTAATGAAACATAAGTTGTTTATTAGTTCTGAAATTTTTGTGAAAAACAAAAAAAGTATTTTTGTAAGTTATTTTGGGGACTTTTTAAATAGAAATTTACATGCATGCCACACAATTCTATTACATAACCAACTCCCAAAGTTTGATATTTATACTTATAACAACTTGATGTCATAAACTTGTACAATGAAAAGGTATATTTCACTTTTGAAAAAATATTGACGGCAGTATTTTTTATGTGGTGTTAAAGATGTGAGTGGTATGCATGCAAATATGAATCTTGTGTGTTAAGCATGTTAATGCCCCTTTCTTAAATGAGATTTTTTTTTTTTTTTTTTTTTTTATGAAGGAACTTCATTGTTATCTAGTCTATTCTATAAACAATGCACTCTTTTTATTAATCCATTCTTAATTATAGAATCAAGTTGAACAGAACTTTGCTCTTCTGATTTTCATTTTAGAAGGACAAAGCTAAGCTTGATCTAATTTCAAACATTATAGTTTTAAATTGATTATAAAATTATCTTATATTTAGTAAAGGCATAAATGAATTATTAACTAAATTCAATAATAGTTTGAATAGTTTCAAAACTATATAAAATTTCATGAACTTTTTTTCCTTCTGAATTAGCTTATGATCCATTATCACTATTTATAATGTGATAAGAAGATAGCACCATTTTTGAAGATGTTATTAGCGTCTTATATCTAATTAATCCTGAATTGAATGTACAAAAACATTTGCACCTACATTATCTTTAGTAGGTATGATTACTTGCATCTCAAATAAAAATTTCTTAAATGCTATCAGAATTCTTTAATTCTTTACAGTCACAAGTCAATCTGATTTTAACAGGATGGGCCTAAATTCATGGCAGAAGAAGCAAAATTGTTGGACTACCCTTTTCCTTATCTTTTCGATGAGGTTAGAATTTTTTTCTTGAGTAAAAATATGCTATTTTTTCTATCACAGTATGAAGCCATAGGCTATTGGAAGTGATGGCTTGTTGTTGATGTATCTTAATGGCTTTTGAATTCTTGCTCTTCTGTTTCATTTTCCCTTTGGTTTTCATGATTAAGAGAAAGGTTTTGGCGTTGGAGTTCTGGTTAGGAGAGAGAAATTTGAGAAAAGGGTGGAGGAGATAAACTTGAGGAAAATTAGAGGATTATCTTCCAATTTCTGTTCATGGTAATAATTATATGCCTTCACATACCTGTTTATAAAACATAGGTTACATGGGTATTAGCATACAGCTTGAAATTCAAAGTAAGAGGATCGTAGAAAAAAATGTTGATTTATGCCAGTTAAATAAATCTAATCCTAAATCAAATGAGAATCATGAAATAAAACTATCACCTCAAGGGAGTCAAAACTATGGCAATCTTCTAGAAATATGATGCTTTCTTGCTTGTTTCATCTTTCACTTGATTTATTTGGGAAGATTCATTCCTTCGATAATTTTTCTGTGATTTGTTAGACTTGTCTCCATTCATCTGTTTTATGTTTTTAGGCTTGTTGAAGTGTAGATGAGTTTACTTATTTTGAATTATAGGCATGGGATAAAAGTCATCTTAATTGGTAAGTTGGTCGTCCTCACCTTTATATAGAACTAGTTATTGCTGGCTAGTCAAAGGATAATTTACAGGCATAATAGTTATAATATTTAAGATGCCATACTGCTCTGAAACTTTTTTTTTTTAATTTCTATTCTGATGTTGTTTAGCTTTTCTTTTCTTTTTTTTTTTATAACTATTATCTACTGAAGGTTTTCTTAACTTATATCAAGATATTTTTTTCTTCTTTGCAGTCGCAAGATGTTGCACGAGCATTTGGAGCTGTTTGCACACCAGAGTTTTTCCTTTACAGAAAGGTGAATAATTTCTCACATCGAGTATCAAAGGCAGTATGCTGTTTCCTGATATTTTTTTAATTATCTCTCACTCGTTACACTATCCACTCTGTATCTGTGGCTGATAAGTTCACCAATATTCGTTTGAAGAGCGGCAAATTTGTATGACTGGCTTGGTGAGAGCAGTTTTTGTAACCGCTGAATTAATAACTTAGGGCCCATTCACCATTTGTGATGGTTGCAAGTATTTTTTTTTTTTTTAATTATTTATAGAACTGTTATAAGACAAGTTGAGTTTTTGAAGGTTAGTACGAGTATGATAGACTTATTTTTAGAAGAAGTTTAACAATTTCCTGACAACTAATTTATTAGCATATTTCCTTCAGCTGAGATAAAAAAAGAGAAATTTACATACAAACAACACAATTCTCTTATTGTATTTACATATCTCACACTTAATGTTTGATATTTGCATTTATAACACCTTGGCATTACAAAGTTATGCATGAAAAATGTGTTTCACTTTTAAAAAGATATGGCAGTGGTATTTTTTATGTCATGTCAAGGATTTGGGTATAAGATATAAATACATAAGAATTGTGTGGTATGCATTTAAATACGCTTTTAAAAAAAAAACAATTGTTGCCAAACAGAGCTGAACATTGTAATATTGTGAAAAACTATATGAAACGCAACCTTATTTTTTACTACTGATTCATTCAAAGTCAATCCTAACCCTCCTAAACTACAACAGGATGAGCAAAAGCCTTTCGAGTTATTCTACCACGGACAGTTTGATGACTCGCGCCCTAACAGCAACATACCAGTCACAGGAAGGTATCTTTTAAAGTTCCTTCCTAACAATTTATTTAATAATTGTATCATTCATTGATGATTATAATCAATTTAGGGACTTGAGTCTTGCAATAGACTGTGCGCTAAGTGCACAACAATTGGCATCAGTTCAAAAACCCAGGTTATTATTTCTGACATCATTTTTCCTTTACAAAACTTAGACACAACTAACCTTTGCCTCTTTGTTCTGTTTTCCGCTATCATTTCAGTGTTGGGTGTGGTATAAAATGGCATCCTGAAAACAGCCAGTAATTTAGTAAGGTGTTCTAATTGGAAATTTCAAATTCATCGAGATGCTGCGACTTCTAATAATAATTGTTGAATTGTTATATAAAAGGCTAAGTTTTTAATAGTTTTTTTTTTTCTCTAGAAAAAGTTGTACTACGATAGTTTTCTTATGGCTATTGTACTGTGGAGTTTATTGTAGAAGGCTCATAAAGAGTACAAATATAAATAAAAGTTGCACCTGCCTAGTAAGGAACAGTGAAGAAAGCTATTGTAATTAATGAGACGAGTTTTGTTGGGTTATATTGGCCCTTTTTTTAATTAATAGGAAGTTTGCTATTTCTAATAATAGTTATGGATATGTAACTTGTATGTTTGTTGTATATTAAATAGAAAAAAAAAATGAATGCAACATCAGCTGCCTTAATGGTTTAGCTTCCTTCTGTTGAAACTTTTAAACTTCATTTTGCCGCATGTTAGTAAAGAAATATTGAGCGGGTGCCAGACATTTGACTATAAACGGAGGGCTAATAGCACACCGCGCTGCTCCACCCCAGCTCTTTGCCTTGAAAACTGTCGGCTTTCATCATCTTGATCATTAAATCATGGTGGTTATGTTTTCCAAATTCTTTAGGTGTGGTTTCAATGCTACAATGAAGGTTGGACCAGTCAACAGTGTCTCTTTTTGACGTTCAATCATATTTCTTGGTTGAAAATGGTGGACTATAACTCATCCTTAGTGCTCCACCCCAAAACCCACTTGAAATTTAGTCAGATAGATGACTCTCAAGTCATAATTTTTATAATTTTGATTTTTGTTTAGACAAGGCTAAGTAAAGGTCGGATGGGCCAAGGATCTCCTTTTATATGAAATCCCATTGTTTTAGTAGAAATGGTTGATTATAGCTCACTACAGGTGCCCTGTCCTAACACCGGCTTGAAAATTAGTCGCGTTCCATCATCTTGACTCTCAAATCTAACTTTTATAATTTTTCAAATTTTGTGTCTACAAGGCAAAAATAAAAGTCAGACAAGCCAATGTTGTCTCTTTTTTACGTGAAAACTTAATTTTTACTAGAATGATGAATTATAATTAATTGTCCGTGCTCGCCCCGACATTCCCTAAATGGTGAACTACAGCTTACCATTGGTAGTATGTCGTAGCGCCCGCTTAAAAATTAGGGAGATTTCATCAGCTCAACCCTTAAATCATGATTTTTATGATTTTTTTAATTTTTCTTTGCATGGCTACAGGGCTAGAAAAAGGTTGGATGGGTCAATAATGCCAATTTTGTACGTGCAACTTCATTTTTTTAACTAGAAATAGTAAACTATAACGCATCACCAATGCTTCGCCCCGGCTCTGGATTGGAAATAATCAGATTTCATCGTCTTGATCCTCAAATCATAATTTTATGGTTTTTTAAAGGCAGGCAGGCCAACAGTGTCCGGTTTGACATACAACTCTATTTTTGTGACCAAACACGATGACTCGATAAAGTACAATTCAATTGAATCTTTTTGTTTATTAAACATGTGAGGAGATTCTACCTGTCAACATTTTGTCACAATCAATTACTATATTGGGGTGTAGGGTTGTCAAAAAAACTTGTAGTTCGTGTTCGGCTCATTAAGTAGCTCGTATTCTGCTCGTTGTTTAAGTAAATAAGTCGAACAAGTACAATTTTTTAAAGATCGAATTATAAAAGAACAAAACAAGAACAGCGCTTTGTTCGCTCGTATTCGGTTCATTTTAGCTCGAAATAAAAAAAAAATCATATAATTGTTTATATAACAATATATTATATATTTATATTTAAGTTTGAATCATAACAATTTGCGCGGTAAAGTTGTTATGTCTTTTCTTTTGCATAGATTTGGTCAATATTTGAATCCAACACTACATCTATTTTTTTTCAATTTATTTTATCAAGTCAATTTTGAACCAAACACGAACAAGAATATTTAAATCAAGTCGAACATGAACACACTATTCACGAGCCGATTTCGAACACGAGCCAATTTCAAACACGGGCAATTTTGAACGAGTTGAACACGAGCCCAGCTTGAGCTTGCTCAAGCTCGGCTCGTTTCCAACCTTATTGGGGTGTGCTTTAAATGGCTACTAAGTTGAAGCTTTTTGAAAAAATGAAAGATTTCAAATTCAAAGAACCTACAAATTACTTTGAATTAAATTTTACTTGTAGTCAAACAGCGTTCATAATGTGAATAAATAAATTTTGGCTATAAAAGATGATATTTGACCATATTATACTGACCTATTCGACAATAATAGGAACTTCAAGAGGATGAAGAAAGAACTTGACTTGATTCCAAGTGCTAATAACAGCATTCACACTGTAAACCCTTTGTTTTGGCGAGGAGGTTGGATGATGCCAAGGACTTCATAACTTCCTGGAGATTTGACAAAGAGCCAATAATATGAAGATCCTTGTTGCAGATTTGTCAGTTGCAATGTGATATTGAAAGAGGCGAGCATGACAGAGAGAAGCTACTGAAAAATCATTATGCAGCCGCACCATATATGCTACTTTATAACACGTACATGGATGCTAGTAAAGTTTCTTTAGCAACAAAAAGTGTGATGAGAGAACGAGGTGTGGATACTGATGTGGGTATTTCTTGGCTTGAACAAGGGGTTTGAGTTCATTCTTTTGTCGTTGAAGCAAACTTGTTGCTGTCTCAGCAAAACTAGAAAGCCTGTACCTGAAAATCAAGCAGATGGATAATTCTGGTTTTGTAGGTTTGGAAATGGACAATTAGAGCAATTAATGAAAGGAGAGCTTAATAAGAAGCCATGCTGAGACATTGAAAAGAGCTTTTAGGTTGATTAGTTTGCCAGAGATTGCCGGTCCAAGTGATGAGTGAATTAAGATAATGTTAGGATTGTCATGCATTGCTAAAGTTGTTCTCAAATTTTGAAAAAATGATATCCCCACCTTCAACTTCATACTCTTGATCAAGCTTCCACAAGCTAAAGAACAGACCATAAAAAAAGTCTGAGGGTGAAAGTTTTAAAGAGAAGGAATGTTGAAGTGTTGGATTCAATGTTATATTTGGAAGGATGATAAAACTTTATTAGAGAAATGAATCAAGCCAAGGAGCAAAAGGAAGAGAGAAGTTAGTTCTCAAATGAAACTCTGGAAGAATTGGTTTAGAAGAAACCTGATTAAATGCCTTTGAACAAAGTAAGGCGAACGGGGTTGAACTAATGAAAATAATTGAGGGAGAAATTTTATAAGGAATACTAGTATGTATCGTTCCCATGACCGACAAATGATATCTTATTCATAAGTGAAACACAAGGTGGAAGCTACAACATCAACATCATTGTACAATCGCATAGTAATGCGTAAGTTGAATTGATTAAAGAAAGCTTTGTTGCTAGCAAGCTAGAACAGAAGTCGGCTTCTAGTTAGGGGAACTGCAGATGAGTTCCCTAAACGAGCTCTACTGATAAAAATCTCAAATCAACAGATGAATATTCTAGTTAACTATTGCTTAACTATGGGAGACTTCATCAGTCATTTGAGCAAGCTCAACAGCTCAATTCTAAGGGTGAAAATTGGAGCAAACTTTTAGAACAACTTTGATAGGTGTAGATTTGACATCTTCCCATGGGTTATAGCACTTATAGCGACTAGTCTCACACTTTTTTATTTGCTTGTTAATGGTGAATCTATAAGTCATCTATTAAGATTGGTTAGCCATTTGTTTAACTAATTAAACAAGCATTCAGAAATAATTTGACTGGTTTTGATTTAATTCAAGAACTGATATCTTTCTCTTGCTTCAAAGGTAGGCCAACTTTAAATTAAAAAAGTATTGACTTGAGATTGAATTTGCTAGCAATTCCCTGACTATATTGAATTGCTAAGTTGAATTCCCATGTAAATCGTGTTATTGAATTCTTCGTGACAAGTTCTAAGAGCATTGCTGATATAGAATAAAAAAAGTACAAAATTACATTTCAATTTTGCCACAGCAAAGCATTTCTTTTAAAAAGGGAAAAACACGAAAAAAGTAGAACTTTTTCTGATTACTTTGTTCAATCTTATATCTACTTTAAATTATAGAAACTACCCAACATCTTCAATTTCCCTCCCGCTAAAAAAATTTAGCTGCAAGTGAAGCATTCAATATTTGTGATTTACAAAAATGATATAATCATTAGACCTAACTAATTCAACCGGTTAGAAAAATCATCTAAAGGCTTGCACACAAATAAATAAACCAACCAGCCATTTTCCCCACAAGAAAGTAATGTTCTAACAAATAAACATTACAAAAGAATTACTCTTTCAAAGAAGTTGGAGGTTTTGCCTAATTGATTCAAATTAGTATGATTTATATGGTTACAAACATTCATAATTAACTTGAAACAGAATTTGAGAATGACAAACTTGAATATTTTTTCAATTAAAATAAGATTAAACAGAAAATTTCAGTACCTAAGATTCCACAGCAGAATTTGGAAGATAACTCAGCATCTTCGTGATGATTTTCTGCCTCTCCGCCTTTTCATCGCCCTTAAGTGTTTGCAAGCATATGCCCTTAACTTTCCAAGTATTTTTCTCTCACCCACGCGCAGAACTAAAGAGTGATACAACTTGCTCTCCATCAATCTGCAACAATCATGGAGCTTGCTAATGTCCTCCTGCAAGGAACTCAAACCATACAAACTCTCTCGAATGTCAGCTAAAGATATAAGAGCCTGGCAAACATTATCTCTGAGTAATACCTCCTTTAAATCCTCTAATTTGTGTTCACAGTCTGTTTTAGTTAACCCCAACAGCTTGATTAGCTTATCAGCTTCATTAGCTTCAGTGAATGAATCTAATACAGAGTCTAGTTTCTGATATATGCTTTCTGATAAAAATATGTACAAAAGAATCAGCAGCTCCATTTGAGGCTCACCATCAGAAGATATCTCAAAGTACTCAGAATTCTGGCTGGTGCAGCCTGAGTAATTCAACTTCCTCCACAACCCTAGTCTTGTTCTAACATAACGGTTGGAGAATAAAGAAGAAAGCCATTTGAGTATCAGATGTAGATCAATGTTAACAATATTATAAGGGTTATCAAGTTCGGTAAATCCATATCTATGAAGCAATGCAGCATTTCCCATAGACCCATAAGTGTTGTAGACCTGGACAAATATAGATATAAAGGGTGTGACTAAGAAGTTTGAAATCTGATGTTTGTGAAGCATGAAATATGTGATCGGTTTCCGAGACATTTTAATCAATAAAAGAATTGACCATAGCATGAGTGATCACCATCAGAGTGGACTACTAAGGATTTTAACAAGTTTCCACAAAATAAAATCCTATTTGCACTTTATTTTTGAAAATTGATGGAAGTAGAAAAGAAAATAAGTGAGGATAAAATGGAATATTGCACCAAAAGTATGGATAAAAATTAGGTGAGAATATTTTTATCAAAATTTGATTGAAATTGATTTTAAATATTTGAATTTGCTTTGAGATGAGTGTAATACATGATAATCCATCAAACCGTACATTGCACTTAGCTCCAAAGCAAATCCAAAGTTTTCAAATCCATCGTAAACAAATTTTGATTAGAATATCTTCATCCAATATTATTTTTCAGAAAAATTTGCTCATAGAATTAAATACTGACCTCAAAACCTGTCTCAACCTCCTTCACCACGATCATTTCCAAAGTTTCAATAGGCTCACTTCCTGTAATTCAAAGGAAACATCACTAATTGATAGCAAATTTCACAAATATCCTTTAAGATATTATCTAAGGATGACAATGATAGGTCTTTTAACCTGATGAATTAGTCGAGTTTTTCACAGATGACCTCTCATCATCAGATGCATCAAAAATGTCACCTTCAACATCATCATCAGAACTAGAGGAAGAAGATGCTAATGTAAAGTGAACATTCTCAGCCCCCGTCTTGTGATTGAACCTAAAGCGCACACAAACCAAGAAATTAGATTAGGTTCAATCATTTGAAATTGTCAAAAAATGCTTAATTTAATTAATCATTTTAAGTAAGTGATTAATGACAGAATTATATTGTAAATTTCCTTGCTTAATTTTATTATTCTTATTATATGTATATAGTTTTTTTCTAAGTACGAAACAGGTTTATATACATTCATCACACCTTATGTTGGCAGGTATATATTGCTTCCGAGTCAAAGTGCAATAGTAAAAGAGAAATAACTGATGATGAAAAAAATTACAAAAAACTTGTAATAGTAGAAATTCATAAAGAGCACGGAGAGCAATCATCTATTGCAGTAGCCAAAAATAAAAAATTAAGGCAAGCTCCCTGAAGTGAGCATAGTGGGTGACACTTACTCCTCGAGCCCATGGATCTATATGTCCAGAGGTCCACTAATAAAGGATGAAGAGATTATGAGCTATCATAAACGTGCTGTTGATGAACTTCAAGGCATAAAATTTAAGTGTTACCCCAAAATCCGAACAGTAGGGAAACTCACAAAAAATAGGCCCCCTAAGAAAATGTTCCTCAAAATTATCATCATGATAGTTGGTATCTTGGAGTCCTGATATTCCCAAAGGGCAGAGTGGTCCATACTAGGATATCCATACAGTCAATTGCCATCATAGAGGAAGATTAGAGCAATTAAATCATCCCACCTTAGTTGATGGTAGATATTTGTTGGACTTATCATTTTGAACTAAAAGCCCATAAGATACATGAAGAAATGGAGGATGAAATTAGGCAGTTCGAAGTGATTTATATTGTTGAACGTACCAAACCAAGGCATACAAGGGGAATAATCCTTCTCTGAAATGAAGCCAATTTGAAAAAAAGGATGAAATCCTTAACACTACTGCTTTGGCACACTCCTGCCAAATATAGCAATATATGATATTCAGAGATAAATAAGTGTCTCTAATTAGCTCCATGATGAATAAAATGATGATTTAGATGACTATGATAATACAACTATATAAGATTACGTTTGCAAATCATGCAAATATTGCATCCCGCAATAAGCCTTGCCAGATGGTCAGTGGTGCACAAGACTAAGAGTGCAAACAAGCCGAACATGAGCGAGCTGAGGTTTTGTTCATGTTCGGCTTGTTTGGATAAACACATGTTTGAAATCAGTTAGCGCTCGAATTAGGCTCGTAATGAGTTTGTTCATGTTCAGATATATATTGTTCGATTTGTTCGTGAGCAACTTGAATTTGTTCATTTATTAGCTCGATTTTAGCTCGAATTATATACAGATCAGCTCTCAAGCAAAAATTTTCACACAAGCCATGTGAGCTTTCCTAGTTTTAAACTGCTCCTAAGGTGTAAGAAAAATTTCCTAACATATGTGGGAAATAAGAAAATATTCCTGTAGTTTTTTAGTTGTTCCTCTGTCCCACGTGACTCTCTTTCTTCCCTTTTTTTTGGGCATTTACTTGCATACCATCCAATTCATATGTATTTGCATTTTTAACACCTGGAAAAATATAAATGTTGACTAGTGTTGGCTGCTTTCCACCCGCCTTTTTTTGCATTTAGATACATACCGGTCAATCAATGTCTATGTATTTACATATCTAACACCTAAATTTTTCTTTTTTACCTTTATACCACCTAAATCTCATATATATAAATATATAAATATATATATATATATTTTATTATTATTATTATTTTATTTTTTTTTTTAAAAGACCTAGAGCTGATTTTATTGAAATAGAAAGGATACATAAAGGTTATATGAGAATAGCCCAAAAGAGGCATCCTACCCATATGATACAAGTACAGTAATATCCCAACAAAAAGATACAGATAGACTCAATAAAATGTAAAACAAATTTAAAACATGCAGAAAACAAATAGCTAAGGACGAGTGTGTGTGTGTGTGTGTGTGTGTGTGTGTGTGTGTGTGTGTGTGTAAATTTTTGTTTATTTTCAACTCATTTATAAATCGAGCTCAAAATAATTGTTTGTGTTTGGCTCGCATGGTTAACGAACAAATAGAGCACAAGCTATTTAACGAGCTGAACACGGGTTGTTTGCGAACGATGAGCTTTTTTGACAGCCTTACACAAGAAAACCCCATTCCCCAAACTTCTAAAGTTCAAAATTCCCTTGGAATAAAGGCAAAGACAACCATCCGATCAATCGACCAAAGCAAGCCAATTCAAAAGCACTAACAACAACTCAACTTGGAATTCTTATCAACGAGAAGATTAAAGCCAACATACCCATGGCTTTGGAACAAAAAAGAAAATTGGTATGCAAGGTACTGCCATATCTAAATGAGAATGGTTTGGTCATGTATCACATAAGGTATTCCATTCCGAAGTTCAAAATGTTCACTAAGAATGATAATTTTAGACAATGCTAGGATTAATTTAAGAAGACCTGTAACAACATAAAAACACGAATGATATGCTCTCTCGCCGATTCATTAATAGCCTCACAAAGGTTGCTTTCAAATGGTATGTTAAGCTTCAAAATGACTCAATCAAGATATTTGCCTCGATCAAATGCATGTTCATAAAGTGATTCACAAACACGACTAAATAAACAATAATCATCGACCCTGATTTAGAAAAATAAAGAAACTAGGAGTCTTTGATAATATATAGCCATTGGCCTAATATGAGTGTGAAATATGAACAACAATCGGAATATAGTCCAACTATCTATAAGAAATATTGATGATATGTAGTCTCATACGCATGCATGGATTCAATCATAATATCTCAGGGATGCCAAGAAAGGTAAAGTGCATATCGTCTTGTCTCATAATATTGACAAAGTAAAATAGTCTGCTTCCACTTATAACATTGACAAAGGGAAGCAAGCGGTTAAGGCTCTAATTAAATCCCGGCCTAAGATGGTGCTCGTGGAAAACAACAAGCCTAGACCCAATCGTAGAGTCAGTAAATGTCTCAAGCAAGCAACAAGTAGTTGCGGGTATAACTTTAATCCCTTAAAAAATAATGAATAAGAAAATTCAGTCTAAATGGCAATGCGGCAAAGTTTTTCCATCAAGCATTGATGATAGGCCCTCAGCTACTGCGCTAAAAAGGGTGGGAGGAGGATGAAATAACTGATAACCAAAACTGCTGCCCATACTAGTGGATAGTTAGCCATCCTATTAAAAATTGTTATGTCTTCAAGTACTAGTTGGAGAAGTACTGAGATAGGTTTTTATGGTCTCGACCATCATCTTGGTGCACTTTTAAAAGTAGTTGGCAAAGTTGGTTCCGTCTTCCACCATATCGCCTATTTCAAAAAAAAATAATACAAGAAAATTCAATGTGGAAAATTCGGTTTAGGATTTTATGAACACGTACATAATCTGGCAAATCTTATGCAGTCTTCAACATTGAGTCTACTAATTTAGTAAGAAATGAAACATAAATTGAAAGTTACTCACAGATCAGCCAATGGCACCATACCAGAGCCATGATATTTATCAATCTCAAAGGATCTTGAAGCAATGAGACTTTTGGCAGAAAAATACTGCTCAATGCCAAAATTGTCTGAATCTATCTCTGAAGGCCCTGATTGAATGAGAGGTTCAATGTATTCTTTCCAATCCTCAAAGAGAAATTTCTTATCGTCTTTTACAATCTACCAAGTAGAAATACAAGCAAAGGTACAATGTCAGGATTTGATGAGACTCTTATACAAACTTTAAATGACAACGAATGATAATGGAATGATTTATGAAGTCAAAAAGTGGCTTATGTTGAAGCAAAAATAGATACAAGAGAATATAAGTTTATAAGCAAAGGCTGTGACAAACAACAGAATCCGAGAAAATTACTAAAAAAATTTTGGAAAAAAACAAATAAAAATCATTAAAAAATTCTAGGAGTTTCCAACCACTTTTGCAGTATATTACAGATGATCAAAGCAGGACATGCTTTACCAAATGTAAGAACTCTACGCAGGGCATAAGTTGGCATGCGCTGGAATAAAATTCATTGAAAGAGGACCATTTGGAACCTTTCATATTGAATTTATCACAGCAAGACTTCAAGATTGACATTACATCACTAGTTAAAAATAGGATCCACTCAACATGTAAAACTTGTTGTGGTATATATAAAAATAAAATAGGAAAATGATCTTTGATGAAGAGAAAAATAGAACAAAAAAATTCACACCAGAAAACAGTAACGGAACACACAAATTTACGTGGTTTGGCAAATTGACTACGTCCACGGAATTGCAGGGAATTTTACTACTCGAGGAATTTACACCAGTCGATCGTCTCGACTTACAAGAGGAATCTCTCACTTTGTTGCTCTTTCTTCTTCTCTTTTTGTTCTTCTCTCTCTACACCAAGATACACTGAAGAAGCACTACACCGAGATATACCGAAGAATATAAACTTACAATAGAAATAAACTCAACTTCTCTTCTGCCACAAGTCACCAAGAAGAAGTCAAGGGAGAACAAGTTTCTTCTTCTACTTTCTTCTTCCTTCTGCCGCAAGGAACTACTGCTTGCAATTTTCTTCCTCTATCCCGAGGAAGTCGGAAGAAGAACACAAAAATCGTGACTTAGAAACTGAAGGAGCGGTGTGATGTCTTTTATCGCGAATAGAAAGGAGACGTCGCTACTATTCGCGATAGAGGAGCGGGTCACGAACAACAAGGGCGCGCACGAACGGGAGTGAGAGTTTGCGTCACAAAGCTAGAGCAGGAGTCTTTGCGTGTGCGCAGGTACGGATGAACTAAACCGGACTCCATCCTTAGCAAATCTCTCACTTGGAGGCCGGTACACGGGTAACAACATCTCCTTCCTCATACTGATATCCTCCACTGGCATTGTCGTCATTTTTTTTCAAACATAAATCCTCCACATCTGCAACTCAAAGTTTTTATCTTCGCACTAGAAGACCAACTGAAGCTGAGCACAACTTCAGTTTCTCAAGAGTAACACCCTTAGTCAACATATCAACAAAGTTCACATAGCCTTGCACCTTCAAGCTATTTCCTAGATTATTTTTGTTTCTGCTTACAACTCTCACTGCATGGGTAATATCTTGTCTCTGCTGAAAGCCTTTTTCAACAAGTCTAGTCTTATACTTCTTACTGCCATCAAGCTCAGACCCGGTACACCCACTTGTTGTGTAATGTCTTCTTCCCTGGTGGACTCCCACTTGCTCGAACTTGCATCTTGCAAGATTTAATCATATATTTATGGTTCTCCACCACTTGTCTATGGAACAATAAGAATTGGTGCCCCGGACCCACTCTCTTCTTCACTTCTATCATCAACAGAACTATGAACCGTCACCAATAGTGCATCATGTACTTCTTCAAATACCATATTTGCGCTATAATTCTCCATCTTCTTGGGATTCCTGCAGTTCCTTTTTATGTGGTCAGTCTTGCCACAATTACAGCAACAGCAGGTTGTCTGCTGACCAGAGGTTGTCTGCTGACCAGACTTTGATTTTGATCTCCCTCTATATGAGTTTATGTCATGTAATCTCCCTCTGAAATCAACATTCAGTGTCGAACTCGTACCTGAGATCTCGCCAGAATCTTCCCTGCACGCCTCCTCAGCTAAAATCAAATCACGAATATTATTACATTTCAGTTTAGATTTATCTGCAGAACTGCTAATTGTCATTCACATGGCTTCTCAACTATTTGACAACGATGCCAACAATATCAGCGTACGTATTTCAGCATCAAATCAATTTCAATAGACGATAATTAATTTATGATAGTATTGAAATCATTCAGGTATTGAGCAACAAAAACACATTCCGTCATCTTCAAGTTGAATAACTTCTTCATCAAGTACATATTGTTATTCGTCGATGGCTTTTCATGTATACCTGGTAAAGCTGCCATGAGATCTGCAGTCGTCATTTCCTTGACGACATTGTGTGCAACGGACTCAATAGGATCAATGAATAACCCCCAGAACTTGTTGATCCAACATATTTCATTTTGTCTCATCCATCATTTCAGGTCTTTTTCCCATTAACGGAAGATGAAGTTTTTTTCCCATAGAGGTAGTCATCTATCTGTATCCTCCAATAACCAAAATCTGTGTCATCAAATTTCTGGATCCCTAAAATCTTCACTTCATCTGCGACCATCATTCTTCCTCAGATCCGGAACAAATCTCTGATATCAGTTGTTGTGATATATATAAAAATAAAATAAGAGAATGATCTTTGACGAAGAGAAAAATAGAACGAAAATATTCACACCAGAAAGCAGTAACACAACGGAACACACAGATTTATGTGGTTCGGCAAATTGCCTACGTCCACGGAGTTGCAGTGGATTTTACCACTTGAGAACCACTTGAGAAATTTACGTTTTGACTTACAAGAGGAATCTCTCACTTTGTTGCTCTCTCTTCTTCTCTCTATGTTCTTCTCTCTCTACACCGAGCTTCTCTCTTCTTCTCTCTCTACACCGAGATACACCGAAGAAGTTCTACACCGAAAAAGATAAACTTACAAGTGAAATAAACTCAATTTCTCTTCTGCCACAAGCCACCAAGAAGAAGCCAAAGGAGAATAATTTTATTCTTCATTCTTCTTTCTTCTTTCTTCTGTCGCAAGGAACTACTTCTTGCACTTCTATTCCTCTATCCTGAGAAAGTCCAAAGAAGAACACAAAAATTGTGACTTAGAAACTGAAGGAGCCGTGCGATGTTTTTTATCGTGAACAGGAAGGGAGACGTCGTGACTAATCGCGACAGAGGAGCCGTTCGCGAACAGACGTGAATGGGAGCAGGAGTTTGCGCGACAAAGCAGGAGCACGAGTCTTCGCGTGTGCGCGAGAACGGGCGGACTGAATCGGGCTCCATCCTTAACAAAACTACATAGACCATTTGCCTTTATATAACGAATTGGTTGTTTGGTGTCACATTTTAGGCAAGATTTATGTAAGATTTAGCTTAAATCCTATCAACAAAACTTGAGCAAATTTAAATCTTAACATTGTGATAAACTTCAAATGAGCATCATTATTGGTTAAATTCAAGATTTGATAAATCCCACCGCCCATAGGATTAGAAGAACTTGAAGGGTTATCCTAAAAAATCATAAAACAAATAGTCAATAGTTTAACAATATTTAGTAAAATTTAATAATTTTCATGCAAAATAGTTTTTATGACATAATCTTCATAAATTTACTATGTATATGTATTTGGATGATTTACTAAACCCTCTTGATCTAAATTCTGCTTATAGCCAGAGAGCCCCTTTTTACTAGCGGTGGCCAATAAAATGTGAAACTCGGATATAATCCAAGAAAGATCAAACAAATAGAGATTAAAGCATAATTTCAGAGGTGTGCTAGAAGTTCTACACGGAAAAATAATATGGATAAAACCATATTATTTTGAAATAACACTCGCAATAAGCTTTTCGCTTTAATTGAAATGTGTATGCCCTTGTGTTTACTCGTATTTATGAAAACAATAAGTGGCAATATTATATTTGGAACGACTTAGATTTCTTGTGTTAGAGAATTAACAGAAAACAGATAGAAATATACTTGTGTGAACTGACTTGATTGCTATTTTTAAAAACAAAGGGGCGTGTTTCGTGAAATTCAAAACATCCTCAAAGGAGCATTCACTTAGCTTTAAATCAATGGCAAATATCCGATAAAATCTATAGCTATTAGTATCAAATGCTCTTTTTTCAACCTTGGTTCCAGTTTAAAATGCAACGAGTATATCGAAAAAAAGAGGCGTTCTATTTTTAAGCGTCACCTTATGGAGCTCGGTCCCAACCAGAAGCTTGTCCACCTCCTCCAAACTCCAGACAAGCGGAATGCATTCTCTCTCGGGCAAGAGCTGGAGGTATCCCTCCCATGGCGAGGCAGAACCAAGGCTCTTCTCGTACATAAGCGCGATAGAGAGGCCAAGGAAACCGCAAAGGCCACACTCCTCTAAAAGTGAAGAGATCCCCGAGGTCCGGATGGTGAGGCAGGAAATCTTAGGGATGCTGGCGACAAGGTCTCCTTCCTTTAGATCGCAGAGTGCTCGCACGGAGATGCCGTCGTCCATGGAATCGACGAACTCTAGGGCATCGCTGTATGCGATCCCATGAGATTTCATCCATCTCTTGAAAGCCCTCAATCTCCTGCGAGTTCCTAAGAAACCATGGATGAGAAGATCGATTTTAATGAATTCGAAGTGGAAAGAGCATACCTGCTCATGCCTGACGTCCCCGAGAGGAACAATTGCGGCGGGAAGTTGGAAACGGACGATTGAAATAGGGTAGTATTTTTACTTGCACAGCGCCTAAAACTTCAAAATAACAAATTAATCGTTTAAATTTTAAATATTTCAAATAAAGCACCTCAACTTATTCATTTCACCACCCACCCCACATCACACTCTCTCTCTCTCTCTCAAGCGCGTATTTAGTCTGGCGTCCTAACGTAGATAACCATTCTGAGTCTAATGAAATTCCTGTTAAAAAAATAAAAAAAACATTTGCTGCCCGGCCCGACCCTAACTAAGGAACGTTACAAAAATACCTTTGCATTAAAAAGGAGCACGAAGAGTCAAAAAACACCGTTTCGAGAGCAAAGTTGCCCCGTTTTTCGTCTCTTAGATTTCAGAGCTAGAGTTTCCAGAGGGTAGTTATTGTTCGTTCGAAATAGGGTGTTCAAGGAAATGACGGGAAATGAATACGATAGGATGCAACTGAAAAATAAGTGAGATTAATTGAAAAAAAGACTGAAAAATGTGGAAGGAATTTAAATGAGAATTCACAAACTTGGGTTGTGATTCAATCAAAAAGACTATTAATGTTTTAGATGAATGGTGTGCTAAGACAATGGAGATGAGAATATATTTATTTCTGACTTTCTTTTCATGACTCCCTAATCCTGAATTGTATGAACATTCCACGTCCCCTTTTATTGCAGATAATGCCAAGAAATTCAAATTTAGTGGTATTGACCCTAATTTAGAAAAAAAGTTAGATCGTATGTTTGGTGGGGTTATGGTAATGGGGATTAACGCTTGGACCCCTAGTGAACAAGGGTTTGCGGGCATACTGAGAACTACGATGTCGACCGAGCAGTTGACTCCAGTGAAGGCCCAAGCCGAAACCAAAATGAAGTGGACTCTACATGTAAGTCAAAGCATCCAATGGTAGAGAAAAATAAAAATGAAAAGGTTACTTTCATTAGAAGCTAAGTGTCAAAACTGGTGGCTTCATGCACCAGTGAGCTTGGGACTTCACGAAGCGACCTCCATTGAAGAAGTTATCCGAGTTATGGAGGCAACTCCATAAATTTATGAGGACATGTTGTTATATTTGAACTTCATGAAGTTGTTGGACGACCCGACCTATAGAGTTTCTCATGAAAATGGCCCTGACCATAGGGTCAATTATTTACCTTTTTTTACGACAACAAGGATTCTTGATTTTATTCAGTTATTTTTTCACTATTTGTATTTATTTTCCAGTAGGTTTATCTTATTCTGATTTAGATGTTTTTTTTCTTCTTCCATGGAACAATATTAATGTTATTTTGGATGTTTGACTTTCATTGTACACTTTGTAATTCATTACTCGAAGATTATTAAAGTTGTTTGATGCACATGTCTTACCTTAACAAAGCATTTTAACATGGATTCACAAAAAGAGAAACACAGAAAGAGAATTATGGCAGCAGTATATTTAATGTATGAGTACTAAAACTCATACATAGATCGGTCTCCTTGCATGACATGATTGTACATTGGTGATAAATGGGTTGAAGAGCTACTTGAAGAACATCCTACAGAATTTAACAACATATTTTGTATGACACAACCCATATTTATAGATCTTTTAAATGAACTACATAGGAATCATGGACTTCATGCACATGTAGAATGACAGTGTGCGAAGTTATGGTAAAAATCCCTTACATGTTATCACATAATGAATCAATGAAAGGAGCGATGAAGCGATTTCAACATTTATCAAAGACAATCAGCAGATACTTTTCAGTAGATTTGAAAGCTCTTGTTAGTTTGTCATCCAAGATTATCAATGCAGGGGATCCAACATTTGAGATGACTCCAATAAAGATTGCAAATGATCCGTGATATGTGCAACTTTTTAGGGTAAATCTTTTTACTCATTATATTCAGAAGGCGGAATGAGCAGTGTTCACACATCCTTCTTTAATTTGTTAGAATTGTATTTAACCGATCGATGGAACACACGTGGGTGCACATGTCTCCAATAATGAAAGGGTCGCATTCATTGGTCGGTGTGGATCACCAACACTAAATGTGATGGTTGTGTGTAATTATAACATGTACTTTACTTTTATTATGGTTGGTTGGGAAGATAATGCACATGAGAGTCGTATATTTGTTTTTGCCACATGAAATCGAAAGCACAAATTCTCCCACCCACCTTCAAGTTTGTTCAATTATTAATTATAATTATATATTTTTTAGTTTCAATGTTGATTATTGTATTTGCAACATAAACATCATTGGTCGACAATGGATACTCTTACAGAGGAGGAATCTGGAGCTATTTCTGAACATCAAATATCACATTCTCAACTTTGAAAGATCCAACAATGTTGTCCGAGACAGAAAAAAAATGTTTAACAAACGACACTCGTCCTTACGCGATGTAATTGAAAGAACATTTAGTGTGCAGAAGGAAAAAATGGTCATACTGCGTGATTTGCCAACATATTTATTTCCAAAGCAAGTACAGATTGTAGTAGTCGCAATAGCTCTCCACAACTATATTCAACGACATCATTCGCACAATGACATAGACTTCAACATGGTCGATGATTACTATTTACATGTCGTGCATGAAGCATTTGAATATCACATAGGACAATCTATACCACAGATAGAAGTAGAATTACATGAGGGTTGCACCCAGGATGACGAAAGTGTTGAGACAATTATTAAACTGAGAGAACAAATTACCAATGTCATTGTTGGATGTTGAATGGATTGATTTAGCGTATTATTAATTGTAATGGTCATTGAAGCGATTCACTGTTTATTGTATTTATATTTTATACAGTTCATGTTTATTTTTGTTTCTTGTGTATTTGATATTATTTGTTTGGGTTTTTTCTACGTTGTTTGCAAGTGTTTTTTTTTTCTTTTTTCATTTCTTTTATATTTTGTTTAGTGGATTTTGGAGGGTTATGACGAGACATTAGACCTTATAGGTTTTTCTGGATGGTCTGTTTTTCATCATTAATTGGTGTCACATGTGAAATCCTAATAAAGACAACCAAATTTCTCACATTTTTTTCGTTATACGGCCTTTTTTGGTGATAAACATGTGCGTGAAACACACAAACTTGGTATTAGGTGGGTTAAAGAGAACAAAAAAAAACTTTTTTTCTAAGGTTTGATGTCTCATTGCAGTGATAAAATCATTGATTGATATACTAAGTTCTCTAAGACTACACAACTATATAAAACTATAATTAATTGCTTATTTGAACAATTTTTACTTGCGTCACGTCAAATGGGATGTCTTTTAAAACATTTAGGAAAGATGATTGCACTACTACTATGAATTTCAATATTTTGTGCTAACTTCCTATCATCCAAATAACTACAGGGGAAAATTACGGAGAACTGTGACTTCTTTAGTTGGACAGACTGACTGACAAATTCCATGGTCGAGAGTGATATGGAATGAATAGTATCCCTGGAGGCGGTATAGCTCGTGACATACATCATCAATATTTTAAAAATAATATTATCATATTATTAAATGATATTTTAATAATCTTTGTCTTAATTTTAGTAATAATGATATTCATTGTTAAGCGAGGTATATATTTTTTTATTTTGTAATGTTATGCACTAGATTTTTGCTTCTAAAGTATAAAACATATTGACATGATAGTTCTGCTGCAAACAATATTACTATACAAGGGTAGAATAATTATTTATTCAGAAACAGTTGTAGCATAACTATTGTCAAACAATAAAAAAATAAATAGACAATCAGCTTATCCGCAACAATTTATTATTAACCTACAGTTGCCCTAAACAGACCCAAAGTCTCCAGCATTAAGTGGATTGGAGGCTTCTTTAGTTGAAACTTTCTACCGATATTGTCATCTCAAATAATATCATGAAGGAGGTGTATGGCGTAAGATATTTGTTTTATTTTGCAAGATTATTGTTGAGTTGACGTCCCCATAAATTATAGAAATATCTGACATTATACAAATTATGGGCAAATAAAGTTCAATTAATAATATACTAAGGTATTTTAAAAAATGTTAAGACTTGCTGGGAATAAATTTAGGGCATGCGGTTGAAAAATTGAGAACAATTTGTGATGAGTGAGAACTTGTTTTAAGCAAATTGAACCCGAAGGCCGCAATAGAGAAGGGATCTCTTCAATCTGCACATTGTGCGTCTGACTGGTGAGAATTAAGTCGAATTCATGGCGGAAGAAGAGTTGAAGAAATCGAGGTCGTCCCTGGACGCTAAATGGGACGCCTGCCTTGACCTTACCGTCCGCCGCGTCGCCTACTCGTCTCTCGCCGGAACCATGACTGGACTCCTATTTTTTCGTCAGCTCCTCCTCCTCCTTAATGTTATTCAGTTTCCTAACATCAGCAGTTAGCTGAAATGCTTTTTTTCTTTGATGGTCTTTATGCCCTAGTTTGGTTCGGGCCTTTGATTTGGATTTTATGGGGTTTTATATATGCAGGGAAAATTAATTATTAGCTCGAGAGGAGGTGTTTAAATTGCAATTTTTTACTGTTATTTTTTCTAGTATTTTTGTTGTAATGATTTGGGTGAGTTAATACTGAGTCATTCATGCATATTATGTTTCTTGCCATGAGCCGGATGCTTGTCAGTTGATATACGATGATCTTAAAACTGTAAGGCGGACGATATGATTTGGATCATGGTTGTAGATGCTACAGGTCTAAAGCGTCCGAACTTATACCGAAACTAGTATGATTAATGATTGAATTACACAAATTTTCACCTTTTTTTATATGAGAATTTACATACATAACACGGAAAAATTCCCTATTTCGAACTCTAACATTTATGCCATTTTTTCTGAACTATTGAATCTTGCATTTGCCGGTGTCATGATCAAACTTGTAGGAATTTGACCAAAGTGAAAAATACTGTTTTTTTGTTGTGAAATTCAAATATTTGGGTGAGAATGTTTATCTTAAAAAGAAAACAGATGTAAGAGGGTTTTATTTCTGTAATTAGCCAAGTTTACGTTGCCATGTATGTAACTGCCCATTTTAATTAACTATTATTCCAGACTAGTGGCTCAATGTTTAATAGCATGCCAACAAAAGAAAAAATTATAATATTTGAATTATCTAGTTTTGATTGAAATTTAGATTCTATTACGTCTAAAGACTCATTTTCCTTTGTTTCTTTATATCTTGTAAGAAGAATAAGAAGCTTTAATATCTTCTATTCAATTCCTTACCATAGTCCAACAGAGCATCGTCCCCCTCCCTTTTTTTTTCCTTATTACAATGGGGTAAAATTTCTATCGCTTTATAAAAGGATCTGAAAATTTTGAATGTTTTTACTGCATTCCTGAAAAGCTAGTTCATGTGGCAAATGTTGAGGCCATAGGGTGCCCTCTTTAGTGTTACATATTGAATTTTGATATTTCTTTCTAAAATGATTGATAATACTAAAATAAGCGAACAAAATGTTCTTCCCTTAAGGTAGATATGTGTTGTTTGCTAGATTGAGGATAATTATTTTCATAACAATCACCCTCGAGTTTTTCATTTATTAACTTTCTATATCTACTCAGGGAGTCCAATAACTCGATGGGCATCTGTAGCTTTTGGTGCCGGAGTAGGCCTTGGAACTGCATATACTGAATGCTCTTACATATTTGAGGGTTCTGTTCCAAAGTGGACTTCTCCAAAGATTTCAAGTGTTGCTTATGGTTCATCTCAAGTAAGAAACCTCACGTTTAAATACTTTTTTCACCATTTGAATTCCATTCATTTTTAATCCATTTTATTTGTTTGTAACAAATATTGATTTTATATTGGTCTTTATTCGAACATGTTAATATCGTGATTTCTTTTGTTCTTATTTCCTTATGCATAACTTTTTATAATAAGAAATTCCTGCTTCTCTTTTATGCATGTCATTGTTTTTATTACAGCACACATATTACATTACATTTCTGGCCACAATGTCTTTGTTATTGTTTCAATGGATTTATCACTTTTAATGCACAGCACAATGTCTTAGTTCTAAAGTTATGCGGAATCTAATTATTAGTATAGAAACTCAACAAATTGTATCTATAGTTGTCTAGTATTGATAAACTTTGAATCTCATATGAAATTATAATTCAACTTGCCAATTCATTTAAATAGATAAGTATAGAAAATTTGTCATACTTTCGGCTAGATAATAGTATTCATGTTATGAGCTTGCTGAAAATGGGAAAAAACCGAGATTTAGATGAACAATAACTTGTTATAAATTGAGTACACTACCCACATTGGAGGTATGCAAAGACATTTGGTAACTTCTTGGTTTGTCCTTTTCTCACAACCAAGGGCGCCATTATGTTTGATGGTTTTATATGAACTTGGGGATGAATATAATGGATCGTTAAGGGGGATTAGTTGGTTTGCTTCTTCACGCAGCATTCAAGAAGACGGAAAGATTTTGCACTAATGTAACCTTTATCTTTATCTTCTCAAAATGAGGCATTTCTAGAATATTATTATAAACATAGTTAGGATCATTTAGGATTTTGATAATTTATTAAATGAAAAAAGTAGGCATGGTGGATTGATCTCTATTTGCACTGTGTGAACGCATCATCTCTTCTGAGTTTAACTTCCTTGCAAGGCTACAATGAAGGCATAGGTAAGGTTTCCCAATAATTCTGATGGAGCCTAAAGTGCAAACAACATGAAGCTTTGAGGCAAAGTAATTGGCACAATATAATGCTAGTGTTGGAGGTGTTTACTTATTGGAGCATTTGCAAGGCGTATGGTTGGTACCATAACAATAGTTGGTGAGATATGTTTGTTCTGATGGGAAAGTAACTTTCATGAAATAGTCCCAACAGTTATTCAATTCAACGCAATCTCAATGCTTGTTCGATTTGATTAAAATCTAAAAACCATCCGCCTTGTTAGCACACTAGAAAATTAGTGAGGGCTACTATTTTTGATAGAAAGTTCAGACTCAAATCCCATATAAAATAGTGCGCGAGTAAATTAAATTTACCACAATCTCTATAGACTTTGGGTTTGTTTTGTAGTAGTAAGTAATTTTAGTTGCATGAAAGTCTTACCATATTTCAAATTTGATCAAGTTATGCTTATTTTTTCTCCATATGCATTACATGAAAGTTAGTCTTGCTCGAGTTTAAAAGATGATAGAAGGGAGAAGCCAATGATGCTTCAACATATCAGATTAACCTTGCTAAAGATAAGTTATATCATGTAAGTTGTGCTAGATAGATGAAGACCGTCACACACACACACACACACACACATATTGAAATATTATCCAACAATAGTATGTTGATACATTCTAACTTTTAGATAGATTATGAAAGTATTTATCATTGTCTAAGATTTTTCTTAAAGTAACAATTATAAATATGATTTTTGGCAAGATTAGTGTTTTCTTTTGAAAAATTGACATGCAAAATATTTTTAATGTTGCGAAAAAATTTTTAGTATTCACAAAGGACGAGGGTTCTAGATGAATCTATTAAGCAATATTGTTTGATTTTGATGTAACCATCTTCCATGTGGTTACTCAATTGTCATTTTCCATATGCCTGATATTGCGGTGGCATTTTGATCATCATTATTGCCATTCTTTCAATTATTTGGTGTTAATTTTGTCACACCCAGCTAGCCAAGCCATGGAAGAGCTTCACAAAACCTAGCATGAGAGTGTGAGTTGAGGATTAAGAAATAGTTTCAGTCAATAAACATGTTATTTTAATGTGAACACAAAAATTAATCATCTGAGTGTCTAAATCCAAAATTTTCATAATAATCTTTCTATTAAAAAATAAATAAGCCATGACTACGATATTGAATTAAATAAATAGTTTAACCTTAGCTGAATCCAACACTACACCTGAAGCATGAGTACACAAATCTCTTATAACCGATGCATCGCTCGCCACCTGAAATGCATAAATTTTATGGTGTCATTTTGTCAAAAAATGACTCAACAGGTGAATCCCACTGAGTAAAATATAAACGACAAGGTGCAGGGCACAATATGAGCAAAGAAGGGTAAAATAATAAATTATTTGTCATATCATAAAATTTCAAACAATATGTAAAATGAGATTTTTCTAATTGAGATTTACCTAATGATGCTCAATAAATAATAACAGAAAGATATATATATATATATATATATATAAACAAATGATCGTTAGATCCACATGCCAAAATATCCACTCAAGTAGTACTAAACCCTGAAACAGGAAAATGTAGGCATCAATCCTAAGGAAATCCAATAAGTTTATGTAGATTTTCCATTATGTGGACCCGTCGGTCCTGCCGGCCAATATCAAAAAGGGTTTAAAACCAACATATATATCTTATAATAATTATGTATATTTCATACATTGCATGGCAAACATATTCAGGAATATCATTAGCAATGAATCATTGTTATGCATATATGACATCAATTTATAAAAATGAAAGGCTTTGCATTCAATAGGGGTAATTAGAAGTTCTCTATTATTATTATTATTATTATTATTATTAAAAATGTTCTCTTTAATCAATACTAAGTATAAACTATCATATTTTCAAGTGTGCTTGTATCTAATTATGAATTGAATCATTTAAGAAAATACCTTGAATTAAATGACAAATCATGATGATTGTATTTTTTTATTATTTAATTTAAGAAAATTTGAATTGTATTATCTTGTTATAAAGTTGAAAAAAGAAAGTTCAAATGTTACATTCACATTCCTTTTCAATCATAGAGAAGTATTCCAATGATTATTTTCTATTTAATACGTGTTAAAGATTAATTTAAATTCAATTTATTTCTTTCTCTCTTAAAATATCTCTCAGAACTCACTTGATCATTTATATAATTACTCTGTAATCATATAAAAGTATACATACATAGGTGAAATAAATATTAGGATTAAAATTTGCCAACCAAATTATAATAAGAACATAAAAGTGGTGATGATAATGATGTGGGTTGGACAAAAAGTAAAAGTAGAAAATGACAAACCTTTCTTCCTCCTCTTCCCTAGGTTTTCTTAAATAGACTGGTCGTGCCGTCAAAGTCATCTAAGACATCTATTGCAAGATCAATGCTTCCCCTCGCTCGCACTCAGAAGCCTTAGTCAACCTCTAATGTACACAAAAAGATAGCTTGCATGTGCTTGCCACTCTCCTCTTCTCAGTCGCTCTCGCTTGCCTAGCCCATGGACCATTTCTCACAGCCACTCATTCTCTCCCTCGAACTCTGCCGCCTGCTCTTCCGCAGCCTTGCTCTCCCTCTCGCCCTTTTCTATTGCCCTAGAATTCCTATTTGGGATTTAAAGAGCCGAAAGGAAAGAAAAAAAAACATTGAAAACAATGGGCCAGTATAGTTCAAGGGTTCAGTTGATGGAGGTTCGGTTCAGATTATTACAAATTTATTGAATCGAATTTCTCCATTCATCATTGTTGAGTATTGTTTATGATTTTAAGTCTATTTTTTGACAAATATTTCCAATCAACTTATCCCCATGTTGTATGTTCTTTTTTCATTTTTCTTCATAATCATTTTACATTAATTTTTCTAATCAATTATTGGTGTGTCTACCATCCCATGTTGTCCGCAGCCCAATCATTCGGCCCTATTTTCCATAACATTAGATGCTACTCTCATCACCCCCTTAATATAATCATTTAACAATCTTACCTTCTAATATAGCCACACATCCAACGTTCTCATTCAATACTCTCTTTCAATATAATTTTTTAGCAATCTATACTTTTTAATATTGCACACATCCAACATTCTCATTCAATACTCTCTCAATTTGGATACTAATGAATTCTTTATCGCTTGGTCTAGTTACATCATCACTACTTGAAATGTCTAAGTTGCTCCTAGAAAACAATATTTCTTAACCTAGTTCAAAAAACAAATACTATTTTCAGGTTTGGAATTGTAAATTCTTTTCATTTAATTTTATTGGGTCATTCACCCTGAAAACTTCGACACACCCCTGCATCGCTCTTATTTTTTTTCTTTTTATGCAGGAAATTTTAAATTTTTACAATCTTTCATAATCATTGGCATCTGTAGTTTTTTACTAGGACTTTTCAATCTCTTTTCAAATATCAAAATTTGGCTCCTATTCTAAGCACCCTAATGCTTTCATGCTGCTAGAGTCAATGTGTGCTGGAAATTTGAAGCTTTGTCTTCTTATGTCCTATCGTAATCGGCTCTCTCTTTCTTCCTATGTTCTTTTCGTTTTTGGTCCTCTTCCTCATCTATAGCTTACATCTCTTCCCATGCCGTTTTACCTTTTCCTCCTTGCTATTTTCTTACTTTAAAACATAGACATTAGAAGCAACATGATTTGCTTTGCATGACTATGACACACATGGTTCTGTATGATTTCTTGAGTTATAAATGAAAGTGGAATCCTTATTTTATTTTCATCTATAGAATTAACCTAAAAATTTAGGGTTGGTTTTAGGAATCCTTATTTTATTTCATTGGGCGTTTGTTGATATTTTGGAAAACATTTATCATATAGAAGCATCATCCTTTAAAGTCTTCATTGTATGAATCTGTACGGTACTCTTGTTGCTGATCCCATCTCTTTAGGAAGCTAACAACTCGAAGTGTTCTTGAATCATTAGTCTATTATCTTTAGAGTTCTCAGTTCTCCATTGCTCTCTTCTATTGTCCGTTGAACTTGTTTGCTT